CCTCCCACATAGCTTCCCACATCAGTCTAATGGTCCTGAGTATCCCCTCTCTCACAGGTTGGCAATACTAGCAAGGTGAATTGTATGAAAAAGAGCCAGTGTGGAAGAGACAGAATGAGACTGAGAGAATAAAGGATCAATCCAGACCATGTGCTGTCCTGGACCAGCATAGATCTGTACCAGCTGTGAGTCTGGAACATAAGCCTCCCTGATGTATAAGGATTAACTTAAACCAAGCCCATGTCCCATCACTGTGATAGTACAGCACCGATTTACACCAGCCAAAGACCTGTTTCAAGTTCTTACTTGGAGTCTTTTGTGGTTTGGTCTTGGTTTGGAAAACAGTAATCAGCCGGCTCCCTGCATGACTGCTAGTCCTGAGCTGGCTCCCCCTCTATCACCAAGGCAGTCAGAAAACTCCTATCTGACAATTCCTGTGGGGACTGAATCTTGCAGGTGCTTTGCTCAGCCACATTTTGGGAAGAAAGCAAACCAACCCCTGTCATCTGACTTTCAGAAGGCCTTCAAATATCCAAGGATGGTATTGGAGGTAGTCATCTGAACTGAGAATCTAGTATTAATTTTTCCACTAATGCTAACGTCCATCAGTATCACTGTCACAGGAACTGCCCTCTTTTCTGACACATCAGTTGACTGTGGACGTTGCAGGAGGATTGCCTCTGGCTCAAACTCTCTCTTGTGCCAAATGCAGCACCTTCCTCTATGGGGGCACATTGCTGTTTAGGTATGACGTTTTCCAAGCCCGCGGGAACTACTGACCTTTCTCCCATCTATCCTCATTCTTGTTTACGTTTGCTGGCCATCCACTGAACAAGTGACTGGCACTGACCTTCACAACAGATGTCAGGACAGATAACGTGGCCAAGGAGAAAAGACGGGGAAAATGTTGCTAGAGTTTTCCTTCCAACATCCAGGTGCTACTGTGACGGAGACATCAAAAATGCCAATAGATAGCTAGATGAGATGGATTTTCTGTAATCTCAGATTCATCATATTTTACCTGTTACTCACAATAGTAAGCAGTGAACTAACAAGAGGTCTGAATGCTGGAGGAGCATTCCTGTCTACAGAGAGTGCTGTAGCTCATACTAATTAGGTGGTGCACAGCTGGAGAGGTGTGCTCTGACCCAAGCAATCTGTAGGCACAGCTTTCAGCTTTTCTTATCTGCAAAGAGCCTATCACCACCAAAACAGCAGCACTCTATAAAAGCAATGAACAGAAACGTCAGTGGAAGTGAGGGTGGGTGGAAGGGGAGGTGAACTGTCCCCTGCCATCCCAAAAGGGCATGAGCTTGATTCTCAGAGGAAAGCAAAAGTGGCAATAATCTCTGGAGAGATGCTCTTCAGACACTTGGGAGAATCAAGCTCAGCGGAATCCAGCATGGGAAATGTATTCTGCTTCTGATTGATAAATAGCCAGCTCCCACACCACCTGGGGAAGGAGGCCATTGTAAAGCAGTAGGCTGAAGCCTTCTTGAAAACCAGCTGCCTTGTCCGAAGAATAACAATTGTCTCCGTGTCTAGGACAGAGAGACCTACTTCTCTTTTTCCCTTAAACAAGCATTCGTTAGACCTGGGTTCTTCTATCTCAAAGCTCAACAGAGAAGTACAGACTAAACCTAACACCAGGCCCTCCTGTCCCACTGCAGAGCTTAGAGAGTTCTGAAACCACCCGCTGTGAAGTGCTTGGGCAAATACACTGAGGACTTTGCCTTGGTCTTGAACTCTCCTTCAGGCATTTGCGACAGCTGGAGACAGTGCCCATGGCTTGGTAGACAACCAGAGGAAGTTGTACATTCCTATCCTGTGGTCTCCTGCTGTGACCATTTGAGGGCTGCCTGAGTGCTTGCAAGAAGGGTAGCAGCTGGCACGTGGGAGATGCCTCCTCTCCATACTTGCATCAGGAAACACCAAGCACCACCCAGCAAGTTATGTGCCGCAGGCATGCCCGCAGCAGCCCCTGCACATGCTGCTTTGCTTGGACTCTGCCGCCTCAGACACAGACCACCTCAATTTGTCATTGTCACCCACAATCATTTTGTTCACTGACACTGAACAAGCTTAATGGAAAAATAAATCTATGGCTTATTTAGCAAGACTTAAGGGGACCCTTCTAGTTATAAGTTTGGAAACAAAAGTTCCAGGTAAAACAAATATAAAACTCAACCTCAGCCTGTATGTAACAACTATAGCCCTTTCTGGTTGCTTAACCTCTCATACTCTGGAGTCCTGAGACAAACCACAGCCAGCAGTCCTGATGCTTTTCAGATCCCACTGCAAAACCCTACAGCTGTGGTCTTCTCAAGCCAATTTGCAGCACCAGTGAGCAGTGCTTTGCCTGGATCCTGCTTTTACTGCCTTTATTTTTTCCCCAAGGTGTCCCCATTCCCCTCTTTTTATTTCTTTTCTTCACCTCCTCCCCAAAAAGCAAGTATTGCTGGTGATCCTTTTTCTACTTCCATACTGGGGCTTACCAGCTTTATTCTAACGTGCTATGACCCATTCTTGTTTTCCAACTTTTACTTCCGTCGCAACCTAAAAGATTTTGGCATTCACTTATACAATTTCCTGATTACTTCAATAATCTGAAGATTAGCTGAGTAACAGAATACAGTTACAACAGAGCATTGCCCTATTCTGAAAATGAAACTGTATAAAAAAACATTAGCTGTATAGCTGTTTTATGAGCTCATGAGCTTTTGTAAGTCATTAGCTTTCTGTCTCATGTGATATATGAGGACATGTTAATAACGGACACAACTGAGCCAGGAACAAGTTCTTTTGGGCAAGCTACAAAAGCAAGTTTTCCCTTCCCAGTTTTGGCAAGGGCTCGGTGTGACATTCGGTCCAACTGGCTGCCCCAAGGCAGAAGTGATCAATTACTCCTACAGCTGCCAATGGCTGTGGAAGGCTGTGCTGGAAGTAAAGTCCCTCTCCTTTGTAGCTGGGTTTGTGAATATCTTCTTTTAGTGGGCTCCTGTTGCCTGTGGCCTGCCTGTTTCAGCCCTGAGTGAACTATAACGGCTTTTCTTCTTTACATGATATGGGCAAACATACAGACAAGCAGAGGCTGAATGAACAGACCACCATCTTTGACAGCATGCCTTTTCCTTCCCAGCCATTTTGCCTTGCTCATCTCATGTCCCAGTCCTCAGCAAGGATCAAGTAGACTCCTTACCAGGTGCTGTCACTTTGTAGTGTGACCATTTGTACTAGCACCCCATTCACGATACCTGTGCTCTGGTTCTTGCATCTTTGTGTACCTCCATTAATGTAGTAGTAAGTCTTAAAAGTGTCCATTGGAGCCGTTAGCAACTGACAGACACCAGAGAAGAATTCTTCAATAAGCAATTCCCCTCGCAAACCTTCCCATTTGCCTTTTCTCAGACTTGACAGTGCCTAAACATGACACCTAATTCAGACTTCCAGCATCCAGCTGGTCTCTTCTGCTGCAAGCAAAGAATTTCTTCTGCATCTTCATTCAGGATTTGCCTGCCCTAACTGACCAATGGGAGCCAACTGGAGGAGACAGGGTGTCTTCAGAAAGGGATTAATCTCATCATAAGCCTTATGTCAGAGTTGTTCTCTGATGGTGCCTATACCTGTTCACTGGCCATAAACACTTATTTCTCGTGTTTCTATCCTGGGGCAGAACCACATATCCTCTCAAGAGCCAGTCCCAAGCCCTAGATATGCAAAAGCACTTTCCTCTTCCAGACAACTCACCTCATGCACCGTTCTCCAACCCAGCATTTGATTTCACAGGTATAACTCTCTGGCTTACAAAATTACAGGGTTCACTGGCCTCTGAGTGAAAATTGGAGAGCAAAGAAATCCTTCTTAGTTCTCAGGGAAATTATTTTGTTCCCAGCAGCAGGGGAGGCTTCCAGAGAACACGGTCACCTGGTCCTGTCTCCATAGGGTGATGCACATTACAGCAAAACCCTTCTAACAGTCACCGCAATGAGGCAATGGAAACCAAAGTCACTACCCTCAATATTGGGCCCGTTCAATAAAGAGCAGAGCACATCAAGTCCCGCAGATTGTGGAGCAGTCTGAGCTCCTGCTAGCTTCTTTCAGAAGCTTCCCCAGCAGGGACGTGATTAGCAAAACCTCCCCTGATTGCCGGGTGACACAGGTCAGGAAATGTCACCCAGAAACTCCTACGTGAAGCTGAATAGCTTGTGACTGAATGAGGGCATATATTTGAGGCACACATCCAGTTGCAACTGAGAGATGGCAAGTGATGGCAAGTCTACCACATCCCACTTAACAAAGGTGGTCAGCAACCATTGAGACATTGTTTTGACAATTATCAGTATATGAAACATTAAATAAATCAGAACAATATCTTTACCTAAGAGGCTGGCGTCTTTGTGCCAGTGGGGGAATCAAGGCAAAGAGCAGTCAAATGGTTTGGCCAAATTCACCTAGCCAGCAGAAGCTGGAAGAAAAATTGCGTGTCTCAATTCCCAGGCCAATGCTCCTGGAGGACCTCAGACCAGTGTCTTTAAGCTCCTGGGATACCCAATAGGTCACCTTCCACACTTTCCTCTCGGCACATGACTATAGTTCACCTGAATGAATAAGGTGTCCCCAATTATATGGATTTCTTTCTTCTCAGCTGCTGTGTGCAGAGAACCCAATTATGCTTTGTAGCATGCGTGTTTTGTTGGAAATACACAATGTTCTAAGCTTAATACAAGCATTTTGGTATAAGCTGAATTTATACCTCACTGATTCTGAATTTTTAAAATGCCTAGAGAGAACAGCCACATTCTTCAGCAAAAACCTTAAAGACTCATCACCACTGATCCTTGCGTTCCTCTGCTCTATCTGATTGCCTTTTAAAGTCATTTATTATACTAATTTTAGGTTTACAAAATCCACTATTGTAAAGTGTGATGTTCTGCTGACTTCTAACATACTACTGGTACAACCACCTCTGAAGAGAGAGAGAGCAGGAAAGCGGCACTTACCTGGGTTACTTTTGGAGGTGCGCACAGGGGTGTAATGGTTTTTGGAAGCTGTCCTGACTGGGGTGTTTTCTTTGGGGGAGGTATCTATGGCCGAGATAGTCTCTCTTTCACAGTGTGCTATTGGGATTGGTCCCTGCTGCCTTAAGATGTCAGCCAGAGCCCTGGGAAGAGAGAAATAAGGAAAAAACGTATTTTCACACAGTAGCTAGAATGACATTCAGTATTTTCACTTCCACAGTCACTGTACGAATCCGGCAGTAGTTGGATTTCTACCATAAACAGAAAAAAGCAACAATAACAAAAAAAAAAAAAGGCTTAAAAGCTCAGTTTCTTTTTGTGTGTTTGCTGCATGTATTTACAGGCTTGCCTGGCTATTATTTAGTTTTTCATATGCTTCCACTAATTCACTTCACCCCAGGGTTATGTTATCTCTCCATCATTTTCCTTGCTGTCAGTGACAGTGCAGATGAACTGTTCTCCATAGCGTGAAGCACTGCCTTCATAAAGACTCACCACTGAACACGCCAGAGCCCTAAGACTCAGGCACTGTGATCTTCTAAAGAATACACCAAAACTACCCTGCCCAAGCCAAACTTCTTTAAGATTGAATCAGATTAGGAGTCTGGTCCCCACACTCCTTAAATCCTTGTTTTTTGTGCAAGAAGCTCAATACACATCAGTGGTGGGAGTGGGTTTCTTAAAAGAGAACCAGCAGACCAGAAGAAAAGGATTAAACAATTTTCATGGGTTAATGTCAACACAGCCATTAGCCTACCTTTAGCTTTTTGTCCATTAGAGATTTCTTTAATGGTACTGAGGTCTCTCTGCTATTCCCCAAGAAAAAGAAATGTCATACAGTTCAGTTGCATCCAATGTTTTCCCCTTGGATGAACGGATACTCAAAGATTTTTTTCCTCTGTGAATATCATGGACACAGTGGAACAATTATAGCATGAAATGCACTGATTTTCTTAGTGCAGCCACAAGCCGTCTCTTGACCCATAGGAAAAGGAGGAAGGGGGTGGCTTGTGTGGATTATAAGGGACAGTGGCATTTTAAAGATGATAGAGTTTGAAAGGTTCTTCTCTCTTGGCAGAGGGAACATGCCTGATGTCACCTCGGGTACCAAGAAAGATGTAAGGAGGAGAAATTCCTTCATTGCGTATTGATGAGAATGATGCTGGTGTTGCTCATGTCTACTAGCATTCCTTAAATGCCATATTTCTGGTCTTTCATATGAGAAATAGTTTGGGACCTGCGTCTCTTCCATTTTCCAAATCATTTCCCCTACAGACTGCTATCTTTGTGCATAATGAATTGCAACACTAATGTGCTCTACAAAAGAAACTCTTGGAATATCTCAGAAGCTCCAGAAAAGGATTACATTAGTTCACAACCACCCTGTACAGAATAAGAATATTTTTAACCTTATTTGATTATTTATCGTTTGTAGAGAAAACAGGCATAGAGGCTATAAACAATCATATGACATGTATATGTGCACACATACTGATACATATGGAGTAAAAGGGTTCTCGCAGGGACATGAAAGCACAGATTTTTTTTTTTTTTTTTTTTGTGCTTAGGTAGGCTCAGAGAGAGGTGAAGGTGGCAGCAATAAGAGATAGATACTTAGCCCTGTCCCAGGTCAGGGCTCCTTTTGTTTGCTCCTATGGTTATTCCTCACTGAAGAAGAGGAACTGGTATTTGGTGTTCTCCAAAAGATGCTGAATTCCCATTGATTGACACAGATCTGTGGGTGCTCACCGTCTTTTACAATCATGCCTGAGGTATCTCAAACTGGTCACCAACTTACAAGACATGTTTGAATTTTTGGCCCCTTGCCCAAGGCTGCACAGAACATGAGTGGCAGAACAAAGACCTGAAGCTGCAGCCTGAGGAACCTGCCCTATGTGATACTGCACGGTTCCCTCCTGAGGCGAGGATTCATTCAACCACCAGTAATCCTGATGGCTTTTCTAGGCAAATACCTCCCCACTGCATTACAGATCTTGCTGATTGGGGAGGATGTGGGAAGCTAATGAGGTTTGTCTATTTGGCACAAGCATCCAGTACACCCCGTTGGAGACAACACATTTTCTAAAGACAGCAGGTTGGCAGAACTGAGCCCTTAGTACATATCTCCAAGATATATTAAGCATCAGATGACCATTTAATGGTATCTGCAGTACAGAAATGCTAAGAGTCATTTTTCAATCACAGAGATTGTATTAGGACCATTATTTACTAGCCCATAGTGGCTTGGGCTCAATTTGAACACTTGTAAAAGACACTCTTAGTGTCAAGAGTGCAATCACTCAGAGTACAGAGGAAGATGACAGCATGGATAACACTAAAACACTATATACCACTTAATATAACAGAGCCAGCTGGGCAGGAAAGGTCAGGTCGGGGACCGGTGTACACTCAGAAGGGGCTGTGTGGGATGAGGTACACAGAGGCAGTACAAGAAACTCAAAGATGAGGAAGTGGAGCTGGAGGTACTGGTGGGATGGAAATGGAAGAGTACAAACCAGTTCTTCCCAGAGCTGAGTTTGTTTAACCTGACAAAGAGAGGCTAAGAGAGGACCTACATCCCACTAATGGGGAGCTGCAAAGGAGACAAAGCAAGGCTGTTCTTTGAGGTGTAAGGCAAAGAAGACAAGAGGCAATTAGCACATGTTGTAATAAGGGCAATTCCACTTGGTTATAAAAGAAAAATAGTCACAGTGGGATAGCAAAACACTGAAACAGAGACCTAGAGAGGCTGAGGCATTTCCATCCTTGGAGGTCCTCAAATTCAGCTGGATAAGGCCCTGAACAACCTCCTCTACCATTGAAGTTGGCCCTGCTTTAAGTAGATGGCAGGATGAGGGACCTCCAGAGGTCCCTTCCAACCTAAATTCTGCTACGATTCTGAGTCTAGGACCACCTTATGCTCCAGGTCACCTTGTTTCTTCTGATACTGTTGTCCTTTCTCCTACTATTATTACTCTCTGAATGGGGTTTGGTACAGTTCTAAGAACATAGCTTTCCTACCTCCTAGATGGACAGTTTACCTCCATTCACTAAAAATAATTGAGGCAATTAAAGTGAATACACTCTGGAACAATTGGAGCTGGTGAGAAGTGCCTCATCCTCTCAGTCATTATCTACCTGAGAGCCGAACCTTGAGCCTGCTGCCCTCCATGAGGACAAAACAATGTGTCCAGGATAATATTTCAGTTTTTGAACAGTTTCTCATAAAACTATGTTTGGTTGTTCCTTGTTTACAGCCAGGACCTGAACTCACTGATCCTTACCACACAAAAAAAATACAACTCAGATGATAAGAACAAATTTAATCCCTTCTTTGTTTTTCATCCTGAAGGAATAGTAATAAGAGCTCTGGGTTAGCTGTTGGTCACAACATAACAAGGAAGTGATTTCTAGTCGGATGCCAGCCACATGGAAGAGAGAAGAATGTTACTCTCAGATGAACTGAAGAAAACACAGGTGATACTCAGGAAAGCGATGTCTGCCGTGTCAGACTATACGTGGGATAAATTGAACATAACTATCAAAAGCAGACCTAGTTCATAAGTGTATGGGACTAAAATAATGTGGGTTCAGCAGTGCTGAAGGTGTAATCTTCTTATGCCCTAAACACACCAAACCGTGTCCTGAGTGCTCACTCTTTGTTCTCTTCTTTAATGTCTACAGAGAGAAAAAAGACTATTCAGCGCCAGCAGAACAAAACATTATAGGTGGAGGAGAAAGTCAAACTTGGATCAAACTAGCTGGTTCCTTGCCAATTCAATCATATCACTGTGTGTGATCCAGTTTATTTCCATAAAGCACAGAGAGCCGAGTCCCACGCTGGTGGAAGGTCAGACACACTTAACTGAGGAAGGATTTGATCGGTATAAGTCTCTCGGGTTCAGCTGTCTAATTGTCCACTGCAAAAGCTTCAAGCAGGGTAACAGAGTCACTTGAAATATTTGGGTCTTGCATGTGCAGCCATTTGGGTACAATTAGTCCCACTGATGTCAACAGCATCCTAATCACCTGCACAAGGCTATGAGACACTTCAGAAATCTTTCTATGACGACACATCTCTTATCTCAGGAAAACAAACCTCACTCGCTGGAACGTGTTACCTGTGGCAGTGGATGGAGTAGCCAGAGTTGCGTTAACTGTACAATCATATCCTGAGATAATGATTTATAACAGCTTTTTCATTAACGTCATTTGTGTGAGAACACTAAAGCTTCTTTCCACGTAAACCCAGAATAGTCATACTGACATCAGGGATGTTGGTCCAGACCAGTGCTGGACTAGCAGCGTGGGAGAAAAACCTACTGATGCCTTGCATGGCAGGACATGCCAAGGCAGAGCAGGTCAGGTCCTGCTCTCAGGTATGTTAGCAGGGAAGGCTTTCATGCAACTCTGGACTGAGCGAGTACTTAGGGAAGAAACACAGTGGGATGAACACAGGGACCCTCATGCAAAGAAGCAGTTGTAGCCATTTTCAAAAGGGAAAAAAAAAAAAAGGTTTTGTTGGAAATACAAATGGCCGAAAGGGATGGGTGTAAGCAGTAGGGTAGCAAGGCTGGGCATCAGCTGGGGGCCTGATGTTGAAAGATGAAATCAACAGACTTTTTTACAGAGGAAAGAGAGTGAAGACAAGGCAAGCTGGGAGAGGGGCAATGGCAGGGACTGACAGAAAACCAAAACAGAACAAGGAGAAAGTGAGCAGAGCAGTATAAAATGGAGGAAACAGACAGGAACAGACTGCAGTAAAGACCAGGCAGGGTGTGAGGTCCAGCAGATATGTGGAGGGTATTAATCTCTCAGCCCTAGCATGGAGATGTGGGAGGGGAGAGAGGAGCCCACATTATCTTTGTGTAATAGGGAAGTAAATCATCAGTAATGACTTTTCAGGCTTGAGGGAGGTGATCCTTCCTCTCTACGTATCACTAATGAGACACATCTGGAGTGCTGTGTCCAATGCTGGGATCCTCATGCACATCATGGAGTGGGTCCAAGGAAGAGTCACAGAAGTGCTTTAAGGGCTTAGAGCATCTCATATATGGGGGAGAGGCTGAGACAGCTGGGACTGTTCAGCCTAGAGAACAAAAAGCTCACGGGGATCTTATCAATGTGTAGCAATACCTGATGG